GTCGGGGGCTCACATCAAGATCGGGAGCCAGGCGGAGGGCGCCGGGGAGCGGCACGTGACCATCACGGGCTCGCCGGTGTCCATCGCCCTGGCTCAGTACCTCATCACTGCCTGGTGAGTGTGCGCCGGGGGCAGGGGTCGCGGGTTGCGGGGCTCGGGGCCTCTGTGCCCGAGGAAGACACAGGTAGGGCGGGGAGGCTGGCCTCTGCGGGGGGCTGTGCTCTGCCTCACCCCCTCCGTGTCGCCCCGTCTTCTTCTCCACCTACGCCCCTCTGTCCCCCTCCCCCACGCCTGGCTCCGCGTCCTGGACCTTCGGCCTCCCCGTTGCTCCTCGCGCCCCAGACAATGTCTGCCGTCCTTCCCTCCCTCCCCCCGCTTCCACCGTTCCTGTCTGCTCCCCAGATGCGTCCACCCCCTGTCCCTGCCCGGCTCAGTTCCCTTCTTCTGTCTGTCATCTAACCTCACCCCCGGTTTTGCCCTCGCTGTCTCCTCTCCCCCCACCTCCCCCTTCATCTGCCCCCATATCCCTCTCTCCAGTCTAGAAACGGCCAAGTCTACCTCCGGGGGGACGCCCGGCTCGGCCCCCGCAGACCTGTCTGCCCCCTTCTCGCCGCCCCTGACGGCCCTGCCCACGGCGCCCCCAGGCCTGCTGGGCGCGCCCTACGCCATCTCCCTGTCCAACTTCATCGGCCTCAAGCCCGTGCCCTTCTTGGCCCTACCGCCTGCCTCCCCAGGGCCACCGCCGGGGCTGGCGGCCTACACTGCCAAGATGGCAGCGGCCAATGGGAGCAAGAAAGCTGAGCGGCAGAAATTCTCGCCCTACTGAGGCCCGGCGGAGGCGCAGGCGCGGAAGTAGGCAGGACCGCCGGCAGGGGCTGCCTCCGCACCCGACCCTCCGAGGAGCCTGCGGCCTGGGGTCTCAGCCACCACTAATGCCCAGAAGCATGGACGCCCTGCCTGGCCCCGGTCTGTGGGAGCTCCTGCGCTCAGAGTGGGGGCGTTTCTGGCCCAGGGTCCTGGGAGATGCGGCTGCGCCAGGAAGGGGGCTCTACCCCCTCTAGCTCTGTGCTTGGATGCAGGGAGCATCCTTAGTACCCCCGCTTTGGGGGTCACTCATGCACTCCCCATCCCTTAGGGCTTCCCAGCCTACTGCCCCCTTGTGGGGGTCAGGGAGGAGGGCTGGGGGCGGCTGGGGGCCAAGCTTCTCTCCCCACCTCCCCGCAGACCCCTGCTGCTTCCACTGACACCCTTTTACTGGAATAGACTGGCTGGGCTTGGCTGAGGGCAACCCAGAGGGGGTGCTGCCGGGCCGCTGGGGGCGTCCCAGGGGGCAGGGCTGAGTTCTCAGTAGCAGACACTCTGTACAGTTTTTTCAATCCCTGTTTTTGAATAAATATTCTGAGACCAGGAAGCGGTGAAACATTGTGGGTATTGGCAAGACCTCAGCAACTGGGTGCAGAGGGCCCCAGAGGACCCCGTCTGGGAACCCACCCGCCCTAGTTCTGGGGCTGCAGGGCCCTCTGGGGGACACGTCCGCCCTCCCGCCGCTAGCACCACACTGCTCCCGTGGTTGTCTGGGCGTGTTCGAACCTGATGGAGGAGACCCAGTGGCTTTGTCCAGTCTCTCTTCGGTGCGTGCAGGGAGGTGCTTCTGAGGGCGGTTCACCACCCCTTCCTCCTGCTGCGGCTGTCAGCCGGCCTGGCCCTGCGGCTGTGAGCCCTGAGGACCCTCCTCCTCCTGCCCACCTCTGCCCCTTCCTTGGCCTGGGGACCATCCAGGAGTGTCCAGACCACCTAAGGTGGGGAAGCCCTTTGAGATGGTCCAGAGCACAGATGGGGAAAATGAGGCCTGGGGAAGGGTTGGTCTGCACACGAGGCCATGCAGCAGAGCCCAGAGCCCAGAGCCCAGGACTCCTAGGTCCCAGGAGCCTCTGGGCCTCACCAGGCTGCAGCCTCCCTTATTGCCGTTCCTGAGTCAGAAGCCTCAGGGCACCTGCCATCACCTGTGCAGCAGGCTGGCCGGTCCCCTTTTTAATGCCACCCCCCTTTCTCCGTCCCAGCTCAGTGTCTGATACAGATCTCTCAGGTGGCCTTTGGCATGCTAAGGATCTCGCCTCCAGCCAAACCCGGGTCTTGTTCTGGTGCCTCCGAACGGCCTAGGGCAGCGCCCTCTGGAGGTCCCTTGAGGTGTTGCAGGAGCGCCCGCGGGTGCCAGGTGCGCGGAGTGCAGGCCCGCGGGCGCCGAAGCAGCGCTTGCCGCGCAAGGCGGCCCAGCGCCCGGCGCACGGGGCGCTGCAGCAGGCCGTACAGGAAGGGGTGAGCCGCGAAGGCTGAGTAGGCTACCCAGGTGACGGCCGTCTCGGCCTTCGCGGCCTGCGCCGCGGGAGCCAGGCAGGCACAGCCATAGGGCAACCAGCAGGCTGCGAATTGGCCCACGGCCAGCGCGGGAGCCAGGGCTGCTTTGCCCCCGGGCAGACGCGGCCGGAGGGCGGGTAGGATGGAGAGGCGGCTGTCCAGGGAGTCAGAGCGCAGCCGGGCCCCGCGCGCGGGCGGCGGGGGCCGCAGGGCAGCGCGGCGCGCCACCAGGAAGATGCTGCCGTAGGCGGCGAGCAGCAGGAGGGCGGGCAGCGCGAAGGCCAGCAGCGCCCAGAGCGGACGGAAGGGACCGAGGCCCCCGGCCAGGACGGAGCAGCGGGCCGGGGCCGGGGGCGGTGCGGGCGGCGGCCCGAGCAGGGAGAGCGCGCCCAGCAGCGCCGCTGCGGCCCACACGGCCGTGAGCACCAGGGAAGGCGCAGGCCGCGCCCCGGGCCGCAGCGGGTGCACTATGAGGCGGCAGCGCGCGAGCGCCAGCGCGGCCACGCCGAGCGTGCAGGCCGGCAGCAGCGCGGCCGAGAGGAAGCGCGAGGCGCCGCATAGCAGGGGGCCCAGGCGCTCGCGGCCCAGCCCGGGCGGCGGCGCGGCCAGCAGGCCCAGCGGCATGATGGAGGCGGCCGCCAGCAGGTCCACGATGCACAGGTGCATCAGGTAGAGCGCGTCGTGCAGCCCCGGCGTGCGCAGCACCACGATCAGCAGCGCGCCGTTGCCCAGCAGTGCTGCTGCTTCCACCACAGCCGCCAGGATCCACCCCATGGAGCCTGCGACCTCTGTGGCGTGCAGCCTTGTGGAGTTGGCCATCTAGCGCCCAGGCTTCACCCTGTGCTGGGATTCGGAGGGCGAGATGGAACGGCCCTCCATCCCCCATTCCCACCCCCCTGTCCCTTGCTCCTCTGGCCCCTCACCTCACGGGCCGCCCAGGCTCTGGCTCTGCTGCCCAGGCCTCCATCCTCTTGGGGGCTTGGTCAGCCTCATGGAGGGCTGCAAGGCTGAGGCTGTGGCTCTCCCCGCTGCGCCAGCAGCTCAGCCCTTGCTGGAGATGGTACTGGCTGTCACTCTGCTGTTGCCCTTTACAGCCACACAGCCAGCAAGCAAGGGAGGGGCAGGGCCTGGCACCAGCCCCCTGGGTCCTAGCAGCTGCCGGCTGGAGGCCGGAGGCTGGAGGCCTCCGCTGTGAAAGTGCCTGTGGAGGGGCCCAGAGCAGGCCCGGGCTGGGGTCTAGGGCCAGGACGGTAGCGCGTGGAAGGCGGGAGAAGCCTGGGCTCCCCACTGTCTCCGGAGGACTGCATCCCTCTCCTTCGGGCAGCCTGCCCCACCCTGTGGTTCTCCTGCGTGTGACCGTGGCCCCTGGGCCTTGGGGTGCTGGTTCCTTCCATCATCGCTGCAACCTAAGAGCGGGAGCAGCTTCCTGCTGCGGCTGATCTGTGGGTTCCCTCGCCACCCCGCTTTGTGGCTCAGTCCCTTTCGGGCATCACAGTCCCCTTGTCTGGAACACCTGGAGCGATTTCAGCCTGGCTGACGGGTCCTGGCTGACACGTGCCCTGCCGTGTGTCTTCTGCACAGCCGCCCAAGGTCATCCCTGTGTAAACAGATCTGTGGGGCCCTGGCCCTGCTCTCGTCCCTCCGGGAAAGAGGTTCCCGCCGTCAGAATGAACGGGTCCCCCCAGCACCCTGACCGCACCCTCCTCTTCCTCGCCTCCCCAGCTTGCAGCCATAGCAGTCATCCTGCCGGCTGCTCACACCTCGAGCGGGTTGCCACCCCAGGACCTTTGCACGTGCCCTTTGCTCCGTCAGACACCCTGCCTCGGCACGGAGCAGGGCTCGCCCCTCACCCGATTCAGGTCTCTGCCAGGGAGAGGCCCTCGTCGGCCGGCCGGTGGTCTCCTCTGGGGCCGCGCCCCCTCCTCATCGCCAATCCTTTCCTCCTGCGTCAGTTGTCTTCCTGGCAGTCCCCCCACCCGACGCCGGGTTTCCTGTCTGCGTGTGTGCTTGTTCAGAGCCTGCTTTACTGGAAGGCCAGCTCCCTGAGAGCAGGGACCCTGTCTGTGTCCTGCTCACCCTGGGCCCCTGGGCCCCATCCCAGGCACATGGTCGGCATCAGTGCAGACCTTGGAGGCAGAGACCAGGCTTGGGGCCTGCGGGCAGACTCTCTTTCTGCTGAGATTTAAAGGGCCCCAGCCTAATTCTCCATGATTCATAGGAGAAGGCTGGTGCCCAGACAGGGGAGGAGTGTGTCCCAGATCAGGCAGCTGAGTTGTCCCTGAAACCCAGGTCACCTGCTTCCTTACAGCTTGAACTTGGGTATTGCCCTCTCGGAGGTGAGGAGGGATTTGGAGGGTTTTGTTCGGAAGGAAGAGAGGGCCTTGGCCTTGTCCCTGCTCAGTTAGGCCTGCAGGCCTGGTGGCGGCTCGGCAAGGCCAGGCAGGGAGAGCAAAGAAGACAATGGGGCAGGGACAGCAGGAGGCGGGGACAGCAGGGGGCGGGGACAGCAGGGGGCGGGGACAAAGACTGAGGTGGGCTGGAGAGTGCCTGCTCCTCCAAACGATTTAACTCGATTAAAACACTTTGCAGTTTATCTGTTTATTTATCATTTTTAACTCGCCAGAAGGAATGAATAAAGGCGCTGGCTGGTGTGACTCAGTGGACTGAGTACGGACCTGCAAACCGAAAGGTCGCGGGTTCGATTCCCGGTCAGGGCATGTGCCTGGGCAGCAGGCCAGGTCCCAAGTTGGGGGCGTGCGAGTTGGGGGGTCCTGAGAAGCAGCCAGGAGGTGAGGTGTTTATCTCCCTCTCCTTCTCCCTTCCTTCCCCTCTCTGTCAAGATAAACTAATAATACAATCTTTAAAAAGAGAGAAAGAAATGAAGGAAGGATGAAGGAGAAACTAGGGATGCCGGTTTCCCATGGCAGGGGAGGGCCCCGGGCTGCACACCCCTCTGAGCACAGCTTTTCCTATAGGTTGGACTTCTGGGAACTATTTTAATATTCTATGTATTGAAAAAAAATACATCAGTGAAGATGAGGAAAAGCCCCGAAAGGTGACTCTAAGCAGAAATGAATGATGCAGACAATTGTACTTGAACAACAAAATAATTTGGGGGGGAAGAAAAAAGAACGGACCTACTCGTATCTCAAATGAACAACGGCCACTGCGAAGGGAAGTGAATGGCTAGTCCGAGTAACCCGTGCACTGCACTGTCTCCGCCTCGTCGACCCCAGTGTAAAGGCAAACAGAGCATCTTGCAGAAGCTTCAAGAAAGCACGAGGCCTGCTGAGAATGCGCAGTTCTCGCCGTGGCACGACTGTAGCAATTCCGAATCTCCTGTCGGTGCAGAACAGGGCAAACAGGTAGGCAGGCCGGCGCTGCTGCACGCCAAGGTTCCCCCTGTCAGAGTGTGAACGTGGCTCTGGGGGAGAGTGAGACAGCCGGAGCTGTCGGGTGGGAGCTGGAGAAACGGACGTAGAGACAGCTGTGTGTTTTTGTGCATGTCCGCCCTTCCTGGCTTTTTGCTACAAAGGCTTAAAAGCAGTGACACCCAGGACCAAGAGCATCGCTTCTGTCTGGAAACCGGATTTCAAATACCACTTCCTGCTCTAGGGAAGCTGGGCTCCTGGGAGAAACGGCTGGTCAGGATTGTGCGAGAGGAGCCTGGAGCACCTTTGATGCTGGGAAACAGGAAGTGCTCAGAAGTAATGCAGACAGAGGAGTCAGCTTGAAGGTCCTTCTGCAGGCCACGTCTGGGACAGTCTGAGGCTCAGAGTAAATACGGACACATCGCTGGTTACAAGTAGGGCAGCTGGTCACTTCCAGGGGAGAGACCTGGTGCAGCAGCTGACTTAGGGGATCAGAGTTAGTTCAGGTCACCAACAGAGGGACGCGTCCCTCCTGCCAGAATGCCCCGAGGAGACGTCACACATGTCGGGTCCCCCCAGACGTCAGCAGCCGAATCTGATCCTGACCAGACGTGAGAGACACCGAGACTGAGAGACCCTGTGAGACAAGGGGCCTGCACCCTTCGGGGCTGCAGAGGACGTCCAGTCATGGAGGGAGAAATAAAAAGGCTGAGACAGGTTTCAGACTGAAGGAGAGTAAAGAGACGAGACGAGGAGATGCCCTGGGTGACCCCCGGCTGGGACCCGCGCTGCTCCAGCCCCACATCCTGGAGTCTGGTAGGGCCACCCGGGGCGCTCCCGGGCATCCTTTCCCGAGGGCAGAGCCAGCCCCTGGGGATGTGCAGGTGTGAGACACTCTGATTGGAAGTCATGGGCGGGGCTTGGTCTGCTGGGCCCGTCTGGGCTACCGGACAGGATCGCCCAGTGGGGCCCCCAGGGACCAATGGTTCTGAGCTGATGGTGGAGGTTGCCTTTGAAGGTCAGTGAGCAGAGCAGGTGGGTGTGGCAGTGGTGGACGTGGTTGGACCAGGGTGGGTGGGGCCAGTGTGGGGCTGGAGCTGCCGTGTGCTCTGGTGGGTCACTGTGGGTTGAAGGGGGTCCAGGCTTGTGCGGCTGCAGCACTGAGAAGCCGAGTCTGGGAGGAGCAAAGACAGTGTTTAATGCACTTGCCCGTGCGAGCCTGAAGTTCAGCCTGCGTCGGCGACCACACAGCCTGGGCCGGGATGACGGCCCGGGTGCGTATGGGGTCGGCCCACTCTCACCCTGCACCCCTCTAACTACACAGCGGGAACAGGTGCACCCACGGCCCAGTGATGCTGCCAGTCCATCCCACCCATCAGCTTCAGGGGCCAGACTCTGGGACTGCAGCCCACTAGGGCTGGGGAGGGAGAGGGGATCCCTGTCCCGAACACAGCAGGGAGATGGGGGGCAAGCAGCGGTGACTTGGGGGTGCTAGCCGTGGGCAGGAAGGTGGAGGCTAACAGTCTCTCCCCAGCTGGGCCAGGGCACGGGGAGGGTGCGCAGCTCAGAGGCGCAGCTCCAGCAGGTAGCGCAGGCGGCACTGGCTCTCCTGGTAGATGAGGTACTCGCTCTGGGAGAACGAGGAACAGGTGAACTCGGGACAGGGCGTGGGCTGGCCCTGGGGCACCGCCACTCGCTGGCCATCCAGCTCCAGCTCCGTGTCCTGGGATGGATCTGCCAAGGGGGATGCCAGGGTCACTCACTGGTCCTTGACCTTGACCAGGAAGCTCCGCCCCCCATGCTCTCTGCTTCTGGCACAGGGCCTGCCGGCTGGTTCCCACCTTGCCAACCCCCAAACCACTGCGCAGGCTGGGCTGTCCCCCTGGACTACCCCGCCCCATTGCTCCACCTGGGAAACACCCACTCATCCTTCAATGCGACATGACACCTCTCCTTTGAAGCCCTCCTGGATGCCCAGGGACAGTTTGCTGAGTGGCTGGTGGAGTGCTGCAGCGAGGACCCAGGCTGCTTGTTGCCCCTTCTCTGCTCGCTGCTCCCTGCGGGCGCCCCGGTCCCCCGTCTCAGCCCACTGCCGTGGGCGGGCCTGGGTGGCTTCTCAGGATGGGGCTCACCAGGCTCTGTGTGGCCTCGGGCAATGACACTGTCAAAGCCGGGGGGTGGCTTCTTCAAGCTGGGCTGGTCCGTGGTGACATGGTGCTCCCTGCCGAGAGCCACCTCCCCCAGGAACATGTAGCCGATGCGGTGGTCCCCACAGGACATGCCCGTAACTGGGGGCACAGGGAGGCTCAGGCGGGGCTGCTGGCCCCCCTGGCCGGACTGCCTGGGCACCCCCTCTCTGCCGCACTGTCAGCCCCTCTGCCTGGCTGCCTCAGCACAGACAGGGACCCACTCCTCCTCCTCTTCCTCCCTTAGCAGACCCCCCTTGCCCAGGCCACGCTGCCTCCCGTGTCTCTCCCCCACCCCTGGGCTCCTGGGGCCAGGCCTCTGTACCCCGGTGACTGTCCTCACCACGGTCAGTCAAAGCCTCCCAGTGACCGAATCCGGGGTGGGGTGCTTTTCTCCCTGGCCCGCTTGCTGACTTTGCCACTGGCACCCTTTTCCCCTAGACTGGGCCGCCCTGCGCTGGCTCTCCCAGGGCCACCCTCCCCTCTTTCTTAGGCTCCTCTGCCCCCCTGCAGACCCCTTGGCCTCGGGCAACCTTGGACATGCTAGAGCTTCAGCCCCATCCGCCCTTGGGCCTTGCTGCCTTGTGTGGGTGAGTGGCGGTGGTCTCCAATGAAGGGTCAGCCTGGGCCGGGGCCCAGTCTGGAGAGGTCGCCTCAGGGAGGGCTATGCTGGACAGAAACCTGGGGGTCATTAGAGGTGCCTTTGACCCTGTCTTTCCCACACGCTGCCACCCCACCCCACATACCCCACTCCCGGATTCTCTCCACCCCCACACCCGCGCCCTGGCCTGGGTGCCCTGCCTCTGCCTGGTGATTCCACTGCCTTCCCGCAGCCTCCGGCGCCGCCACCCTGCCTGGGGCTGCAGCCACTGAGGTCCAGCTGCGTCCACGTGCAAACAGGCACCCCCTGCTCTCTGGATGAGGCCCTCTTGTCCCCACGTCCCCAGCCGCTGCCCACACAGTGGCTGAGATTTCCTGTCCAGCTGGGCTTGGAGGTCCCGACCTGCCGCAGCCTTCCAGCCTCTGGGCCACTGGCTGCTTGCTTTACCACGAAGGGTCATCGCTCACCCCATCAGGTCTGGCCGACATGCTCACTCCATCCTCACCGCCTGCTCTAGGAAGCTGTCCCTGAGTCCCCTCAAATCCCAGGACACCCCACTGAGTGCTCTGGGCAGTCACTATTCAAGGGCTCCTCTCCTGGATCCCCCACAAATTGGGTGAACACCGGGCCCAGCCCCCCTCAGTCGCCATGCCCACTGGGACTGGGCCCGAGGAGCCACTCACCGTAGCCTGCGGACTTGCTGTTCTCCGAGGCAAAGTAGATGCCCTTGCCCACGCGGCCACCAGAATGCGGCATGATCCGGAGCCCGCTGGTGAGGATGGCGGCCACCACCGCCACGTTGGTGCCGTGCCACAGCAGCCTCCGGTTACCCAACTTGCAGTGGGCCTGGAACCGATCTTCCTGGGTGGGGGTGGGGAGACACCGGGGAGCCACGTCATGCCATGGGGGGGGTCCTCCCTGCTGATCTGAGGGGCCCACTGGGGCTCTACCTCTGGCCACTCCCACGCTCATTCCCACGCGTGCCAGCCCCAGGGCTGGTGGGAACTGGCAGAGTTTCGGAGATGGCCCAGTAAGGGACACACAAGCCAGGACATCTCAAGAGTCAGGGCAGTGACGGGTGGGCTCTGGGGGCCGTCCCTTACCTCCCCTTCTCGGTTCACCTTCCAGACGTGCTGAAGAGCAGGGCACCTGTAGCTGGTGCCCGTCTGTGTTAAGTAGGTGTGGATCACCTGCGGGGAGAGCGGAAGTGGGGTGCCGAGGGCAAGAGACGTATGGATGAACCCCCCCAGCTCTCCACGAGCCCTAGAGACGCAGGGAGAGGGGACCAAGGGTGAGGGGCTCCCCTGGGCACCTTGAGGGCAGATGGGCAGAGGGGTGGTGGCCACTCTCTCCCCGGCTCCTCCGTGGGGCTCAGCCCACCTTGTACTCAGGCTCCTCTGGGTCCAGAAGCTCGAGCTGGCACCTGAGGAGCTGGTAATCCCGGTCCACTGGGTGTGGCACCTCCTGCACCCTCTCCTCCTCCTCGGGCACTGTCTGCAGGCTCCGGGCCAGCTCGATGTCGGCCAGCACCTAAGGTGACGGGCACTGGCAGCTTGTCTAGCTTGTACACGTGACCTCCCGCCTCTGCTCTCCTTCCCACATGACCGGCTCTGTGGCCACCTGACTTGTCTGTCCACCTGTTCACCACCACCCCATCCATCACAGTCCTGCTCTCTGGGCCTGTCGGCCAGCTGCCCCCCGCACGTCCTTTGCCCAGTGTGATCAGTATCCCCACTGCGTGCCCCCCTGCCAGCCCTCACCAGCAGCATGTCCTTCTTGGCCTGCAGAAGCTCCAGGGAGTTGATGGGCGGGGGCCGGCTGCGGCCGAAGTTGTGGGGAATGACAGTGTAGAAGCGGGAGGACAGCTCCTCCAGGCTGGGGTCCCCAGCGGTGGGGGCTCTCAGGGCCGCCTCCACGGCCTCCAAGGCCTCGAAGCCCCGTGCGATCTGCTGCTTGCTCAACTTTCCCAGGGGCATCTTTTTCACATCTGGGGGTCGGGGGAGTGGGGAGACTCAGCCCCCTGTCGCTCCCCGGGCCTTGCCACCCTGCCTGGCCCCGGCCCTCACCCAGGTTCATGAGGGTCATAGCGTCTGTGAACATGTCCTTGCTGAAGATGTTGGTAATGAGCTTCTGTGTGGCTGCGTCCAAGGAGCAGGGCCGCACCCGCTGAGCCACGGTCCTCACCGGGCCTCCGTCAACCTAGGGGCGGAGCGTGCTCGTAGGGCCCGGGAGCAGGGCCTGACCAAGGCCAGAGAGCAGAAGTCTGTGGCAGTGTGGCAGAGCTGGGCGGGGGCGGTGGCCAGGCGGCTGGGTCCCCGGTCCCCTCCCTCAGCCCGGAGCCCAGCCGCCTCACCTTCACCACAGCCTCCTGGGCCTCGTCCTCGCCCTGCACTTCGATCAGCGTGTACTTGCCGGGATGCGCCACAAAGCGGTCCCGCTCTGCCCAGCTGTTCTTGGTCTTGTCCCGAAACTTCTTCTCAAAGTCCTTCTTTGCATTGTCCAGTGAGTCGAAAGGGCTGAGCTTTGACTGGCCCACCTCGCCCTGCAATCGACAGCCTTCAGGTGCGCGCCCCGCGCCGCGCCGTGCCCACCATAACACCTGCGGCCTCCGTCCAGCCAGGGCCTGCGCCCAGCCCTGAGACGGGCAGCACCTGCAGCAGGGGTGTGGAACTCACTCTCGCTGGGGCCACATCAGCCTCACAGTTGCCTTCAAAGGGTCGAAATAATCTTAGGACTAAGTGTAGCTACTCCTTAACTGTTAAGGAGTTGAAATTACATTCGGCCCCTTGAAGGCAACCTCGAGGCTGATGTGGCCCCTGGTGAAAAGGAGCCTGACACCCCTGACCTGCAGCCTTTTGGCCTGAGAGCTGTGTGGACCCTGGGCAGCAGGGGGCAGTGCTGAGCAGGAAGAGGGGAGGGGAGGCCGGTGGGGGAGGGGCAGGGCGGGTGGGCACTCACCACGCGGCCCCAGCGGTTCCAGCAGAAGAAGCGGTCACCGTCCTCCAGCAGCTGGATGATGTAGAACTTGTTGTTGTTGCTCCCGATGTTGGTCTGGTTCAGGGTGCAGTCATAGTCTCCGTGTACCTGGGCCTGAGGGCGCAAGGGCGGGGCAGGCTGGCATGGGCTGCCCTCGGGTGGGCAGGAGACCCGGCCCCACCCTGACGGGGCTCGGACTGCCCTGGGCTGTCACAGGATTCCCGGGGGGACGAAGTCTGAGGGGATGTGGCTAAATTGGTGCTGTAGAAGGAGATTCTGGAAAGACTCAGCTGTACCCTGGGTCGGGGAATCGAGGGACACATGTTTCTGCCCCGGGGGCTCGTAGGGACACCACCCCACCCTGTGAGGGATCTCAGGGAGACACAGCCCTACCCTGTGGCGTAGGTTTGAGGGTGCATAGGTGAGCCCTGGGGAGACCTAGGGGGTCGGAGCCTGGCTTGAAGGGTGGCAGGAGGGGGCCGGAGAAGCTCAGGGGCCTGCCCTGTGGTCTGAAGAGCAGACACGACCTGCCCGATGGGATGCGATGCAGCCCTGCCTGACCTCGGGGGTCTGGGGAGACCACAGCCAGACTTGGGGACAAGAGCTAAGCTGAACTGGGGAGGGGAGTGGCTCTGAGTGTATTTGTGTCTAGGAGGGAGCTGGCTGGGGACTACAGCTCACCTGGGTCCCGGGACTGCGGCTGAGGGGACACTCGGGGTCCACCCGGACTGCACGCTTTTCTGTGGGTGCGGCCCTGAGGGCCTCAGCAGTGGAGCGGAAGCTGTCCTCCTCTGCCCCCTGCCGTCCCTTCTTCATCTCAGGGCCCTCAGCCTGCACAGCGGACTTGCGCTTGGGAGCCATGGCTGTGTTGGGGGCGCCGAGAGGGGCTTCAGGCTTCCATGGCAGCTGCACCCCACCTGGCTGGTACAGCACCAGCGTGCCCCACGCTGGGTTTGCCTTTAGGGAGCACCCACCGCCACCCCTCCCTCCATGCCACAGTCCCAGCCCCAGACCAAAGCCCGTTCTCTCACCCCGGACACGCCCTTGTGCCCAATAGCAGAGGTAGGGCCAGGACCCTGTCCCGTCTGCCCACTCTGGTCAGGGAGGAGTGGTTCTCTCCCCTCTCTGGTTGTGTGGGTTGTCCAGGGGGTACAGAAAGAGAAAGGAGGGGCTTCTGTCCCACTGATGGCCCCTCTGCCCTCCAGAGCACTCTGTGGGCTCTGCCTGCTCCTCCCACTTCCCAGCTGCCTGGGACTTGGCATGGGTGCTGGGCTGAGTCATCCCAGCAATGGAGGCCCGAGTGGGCAGTGGCGGCCGGGGCAGCACCCCCGGGGCCAGGTCTGTTCCTCCAGGGCTCGGGATCCAGTCACGTAGAAACCCTTCCCGTTGAGCTCAGAAGTTCCGGGCTGTGAGCCAGGGTCCCAGACCAGTGGCCTTGAATTTCCAGTGTGCAAGGGAAGTCCCTCCCCGCCCTGCCCTTCTAAGGGCTGTGGACAGGGTCGTGAGCACTCACCTAGGAGAAGCAGGGACCTGGGAGAGATGGCCCTCGGTCCCCAGTATGAGGATCTCTCAGGGCTGTCCCAGTTCTGGGGCCCTCTCTAGCAATCTGCTGTAAGCCTAGGCGTGACTATGGGAGGGACTTCCTGACAATCGCCAGAGGCGGAGGTAAAGTGGAGTTGTGGTGGAGTAGTATTTCAGCTATGTGGCCACGAGTAGGGTGAGTCAAAGGCTGGGTCAGGCCAGAGCGTGCGGCCGGTCCCACGCATGTGTGGGCACTCCATCGGGACACTGCCAAGGCCCGGAGGACTAACGCACCGTTAGGGCTGCTCCTTCGGCCTGAGGCATCCCATGCGTGTCCACCGGCTGCCCAATGACCTTTGCCCAAGGTGCGGGCACTGCCTTCCTTTCTCTAGTGCTGCCTGGAGGCCCCCGGTGCCCCGTCGGATATCTAGCGCCAGACTTGGTACACCCTTGTCCACGCCCCTGACAGGGTGGGGTCCTGTCCTGCGTCTCCGAACTCCGCATCTCTGGCGCCCTCCAGCGTCCAAGCGGCGAAAACACAGAGACGGACCCCTGTTCGCCCCGCCTTGGACAGCCCCCTAAATAGAGGTGCGCACGCGCTGCAGCTTAGGCCGGAAGAACCCGGAACAGGCTGTTTCCTACCGAGCCCAGCGCGGGAGCGCACGGGAGGTTTAGGAGGCGTGGCCACAGACGTTTACCCTCCGGGTGATTGGGGGCGTGGCATAGCCTACCACACCGCCCACTGGGGCCGTAGGAGGCGGGGCCCGCCCCGCAGCGAGGGCCTATCAGGGCGCGGAGTCTTGCCAGACTTCCTGGGTTCCGCCGCCACGTGAGTGCCCCGGCGGCTGCTGTAACACACACGGTGGTCAGCATGCCGGCGACAGCGGTGGCTCGGAAGCGGGGAAAGCCGGCTTCGGGGGACCGGGCCGGTGCGGGAGCTGGCAAGCGGCGGCGGAAGGTGAGCACTCGTTTTTGAGATCCGGGATCAGGCCTGCTCCTGGGACCACCTTCATCCCCTCCTTCCCCCTCTTCCGCCCCCTCGACCCACGCCGCGACCCTTCTCCCAGGATTCCAACTGGAGTCAGCTTCGCTTCTCTGACCGCTGGCCAAATCCCGGTCTGCCGTTCCCAGTCCCAGGGCTCTCGACTGACCGGAAGGGGCCTTGGGTCAGTGCCGGAGTGGTGGGGACCCCTGACCTGTGAAGGGATCCTTCTCGTATATTTCCCAGGCCGACTCTTCCGGGGACAAGGGCAAGTCCAAGGGCGGCGGCAAGATGAATGAGGAGATCTCCAGCGACTCTGAGAGTGAGAGGTGAGCTCGGCTTTTCTGCTTAGCGGTAGGGAGCGCTCAGGCCCGTGGTGCGTGGACGTCTCCGTGCGTGAGAACCCCGGCCCTTGGCTCACAGGCCTTGGCTCTTTCCTCCAGTTTCTGGTCCTGACAAGCCTCATCTCCTTCCCCGCGGGGTCTGTGTGTGGAGAGGACCCCCCAGCCCCAACTGGAGACCAGGGCGACCTCTCTGGCTCATGGCAGGGAGGCAGGGAGCTGGGTCCAGGCTGCAGTGACTTGGAAGGGGAGGGGGTGCAAGAAATGCTGGCTAGTTCTTCACTGCCTTTCCCATGATTTCACAATGACTGGTCTCCCCCTGGCCGGGGCAGAGGCCAGGCACTGGCTTCCCTTCTGAGAGCACAGAGGCGAGCAGGCAGGGGAAGAGCGAATGAGTGGTAATGGGATGTGTTACCTCCGTGTGTTCTGGGAAGAGACGGGGGGCATTTCAGTGGGGCCTGGAGAGATGAAGAGCCCTGATGGGGAGGCAGGGAAGGCGCTGAGGGATCAGAGGAAAGTGTAGGGCGTAGTAAGTGTGCCAGAACGGCAGGTTCGTGGGGGTGGAAGGCCAGGTGGTGGGTGCACCCAGCTTGCGGAGGGCTTTGAACACCTCCCTGGTCCTGTCTGGGGACAGGAGTGGGGCCAGTGGCAGGGTCTGCGAGGGGGCTAGCAGAGCGTCAGACCGGGCCTTGTGGCACAGAAGTCCTCGTGCCCGGGACCCTGGTGCCTGCCTTAAGCGTTGGCTTTGGACATTCTGCTTCTCCAGCTGACTGTGTGTCAGCCTGACCCTGCTCACAGGGAGACTTAAGATGCCTTGCTTAGTCCCCAGGTTACTGTGGGTGGGTGGGTGGGTGCCAAGCCCTCTGGTAAGCACTTGTAAGCGGCTTTACAAGGTGCTGTGAGATGCCTTAGCTACGGAAGAGTGGATGAGACGGGTTTGCGCTGTGGAGCGTGGTGAGGAATGATGACCTCCAGGCTCTCACCACTCAGGTCACCGACTCGGCCATTTGCAGCAACTGACGGGCCCCAGTTGCCGTTCCTGACTCGAGTTACTCATTTCTTTGCTTTCCTCCTTTCCTTCCTTTTTCTCCTCCTGTTTTTCATTTTCTCATTCAGTTCTAACTTACATGTAGTGACATCCACCTTTCTTTAGAGGACAGTTCTGTGAGTTTGACAGGTGTATACCACTGTGGAGATATAGAACGGTTTCACCACCCTGGGTTTGCGTTTGGTGAGCACCCCCTGCCCACTCGGTAGGAGAGGCCCGACCAGGACCCTGTCCTGTCTGCCCACTCTGGTCAGGGAGGAGTGGTTCCTTCCCCTCTCTGGTTGTGCGGGTTGTCCAGGGGGCACAGAAAGCAAAAGGAGGGGCTTCTGTCCCACTGATGGCCCCTCTGCCCTCCAGAGCACTCTGTGGGCTCTGCCTGCTCCTCCCACTTCCCAGCTGCCTGGGACTTGGCATGGGTGCTGGGCTGAGTCATCCCAGCAATGGAGCCCCGAGTGGGCAGTGGCGGCCGGGGCAGCACCCCCGGGGCCAGGTCTGTTCCTCCAGAGCTTGGGATCCAGTGATGCAGAAACCCTTCCCATTGAGCTCAGAAGTTCTGGGCTGTGAGCCAGGGTCCCAGACCAGTGGCCTTGAATTGCCAGTGTGCAAGGGAAGTCCCTCCCCGCCCTGCCCTTCTAAGGGCCGTGGACAGGGTCATGGGTACTCACCTAGGAGAAGCAGGGTCTTGGGAGAGATGGTCTTTGGTGCGCAGTATGAGGATCTCCCAGGGCGGGCCCCATTCTGGGGCCTTCTCTAGCAATCTGCTGTAAGCCTAGGCGTGACTATAGGAGGGACTTCCTGACAATATTGTGCCAGATGATTCAAGGAAACATATCATGATGCCAGGAAATAGGAAGTGCTCAGAAGTAATGTAGACAGAGAAGTCAGCTTGAAGGTCCTTCTGCAGGCCACATCTAGGACAGTCTGAGGCTCAGAGTAAATACGGACACATCGCTGGTTACAAGTAGGGCAGCTGGTCACTTCCAGGGGAGAGACCTGGTGCAGCAGCTGACTTAGGGGATCAGAGTTAGTTCAGGTCACCAACAGAGGGACACGTCCCTCCTGCCAGAATGCCCCGAGGAGACGTCACGCATGTCGGGTCCCCCCAGACGTCAGCAGCCGAATCTGATCCTGACCAGACGTGAGAGACACTGAGACTGAGAGACCCTGTGAGACAAGGGGCCTGCACTCTTCGGGGCTGCGGAGGACGTCCAGTCATGGAGGGAGAAATAAAAAGGCTGAGACAGGCTTCAGACTGAAGGAGAGTAAAGAGACGAGACGAGGAGATGCCCTGGGTGACCCCCGGCTGGGACCCGCGCTGCTCCAGCCCCACATCCTGGTGTCTGGTAGGGCCGCCCGGGGCGCTCCCGGGCATCCTTTCCCAGGGGCAGAGCTGGGCCCTGGGGATGTGCAGGTGTAAGACACTCTGATTGGAAGTCATGGGCGGGGCTTGGTCTGCTGGGCCCGTCTGGGCTACTGGACACGATCGCCGGGTGGGGCTCCCAGGGACCAACAGTTCTGAGCTGATGGTGGGGGTTGCCTTTGAAGGTCAGTGATCAGAGCAGGTGGGTGTGGCAGTGGTGGATGTGGTTGGACCAGGGTGGGTGGGGCCAGTGTGGGGCTGGAGCTGCCGTGTGCTCTGGTGGGTCACTGTGGGGAGAAGGGGGTCCAGGCCTGTGCGGCCGTGGCACTGAGAAGCCGAGTCTGGGATGAGCAAAGACAGTGTTTAATGCACTTGCCCGTGCGTGCCCGAAGTTCAGCCTGCGTCGGTGACCACACAGCCTGGGCCGGGATGACGGCCCGGGTGGGTATGGGGTCGGCCCACTCTCACCCTGCACCCTTCTAACTACACAGCGGGAACAGGTGCACCCACGGCCCAGTGATGCTGCCAGTCCATCCCACCCATTAGCTTCGGTCCAGACTCTGGGACCGCAGCCCCACTAGGGCTGGGGAGGGAGAGGGGATCCCTGTCCTGAACACAGCAGGGAGATGGGGGGCAAGCAGCGGTGACTTGGGGGTGCCAGAGGTGGGCAGGAAGGTGAAGGCTGACAGCGTGGGGAGGGTGCGCAGCTCAGAGGCGCAGCTCCAGCAGGTAGCGCAGGCGGCACTGGCTCTCCTGGGAGATGGGGTCCTCGCTCTGGGAGAACGAGGAACCGCTGAACTCGGGGCAGGGCGTGGGCTGGCCCTGGGGCACCGCCACTCGCCGGCCATCCAGCTCCAGCTCCGTGTCCTGGGATGGATCTGCCAAGGGGGACGCCAGGGTCACTCACTGGTCCTTGACCTTGACCAGGAAGCTCCGCCCCCCATGCTGTCTGCTTCTGGCACAGGGCCTGCCAGCTGGTTCCCACCTTGCCAACCCCCAAACCGCTGCGCAGGCTGGGCTGTCCCCCTGGACTACCCCGCCCCATTGCTCCACCTGGGAAACACCCACTCATCCTTCAATGCGACATGACACCTCTCCTTTGAAGCCCTCCTGGATGCCCAGGGACGGTTTGCTGAGTGGCTGGTGGAGTGCTGCAGCGAGGACCCATGCTGCTTGTTGCCCCTCTGCACGGCCCCTTCTCTGCTCGCTGCTCCCTCCGGGCGCCCTGGTCCCCCGTCTCAGCCCACTGCCGTGGGCGGGCCTGGGCTGCTTCTGAGGCCTGGGACTCACCAGGCTCTGTGTGGCCTCGGGCAATGACACTGTCAAAGCCGGGGGGTGGCTTCTTCAAGGTGGGCTGTTCCGTGGTGACAGGGTGCTCCCTGCCGAGAGCCACCTCCCCCAGGAACATGTAGTTGATGGGTTGGTCCCCATAGGACATTCCTGTAATTGAGGGCCGCAGGGAGGCTCAGGTGGGGCTGCTGGCCCCCCTGGCCCGACTGCCTGGGCGCCTCTCTGCCGCACTGTCAGCCCCTCTGCCTGGCTGCCTCAGCACAGACAGGGACCCACTCCTCCTCCTCCCTTAGCAGACCCCCATTTGCCCAGGCCACGCTGCCTCCCGTGTCTCTCCCCCACCCCTGGGCTCCTGGGGCCAGGCCTCTGTACCCCGGTGACTGTCCTCACCACGGTCAGTCAAAGCCTCCCAGTGACCGAATCCGGGGTGGGGTGCTTTTCTCCCTGGCCCGCTTGCTGACTTTGCCACTGGCACCCTTTTCCCCTAGACTGGGCCCCCCTGCGCGGCTCTCCCAGGGCCACCTCCCCTCTTTCTTAGGCTCCTCTGCCCCCCTGCAGACCCCTTGGCCTCGGGCAACCTTGGACATGCAAGAGCTTCAGCCCCATCCGCCCTTGGGCCTTGCTGCCTTGTGTGGGTGAGTGGCGGTGGTCTCCAATGAAGGGTCAGCCTGGGCCGGGGCCCAGTCTGGAGAGGTCGCCTCAGGGAGGGCTATGCTGGACAGAAACCTGGGGGTCATTAGAGGTGCCTTCGACCCTGTCTTTCCCACATGCTGCCACCCCACCCCACATGCCCCTCTGCCGAATTCTCTCCGCCCCCACACCCGCGCCCTGGCCTGGGTGCCCCGCCTCTGCCTGGTGATTCCACTGCCTTCCCGCAGCCTCCGGCGCCGCCACCCTGCCTGGGGCTGCAGCCACTGAGGTCCAGCTATGTCCACATCCACGTGCAAACAGGCACCCCCTGCTCTCTGGATGAGGCCCTCTTGTCCCCACGTCCCCAGCCGCTGCCCACACAGTGTCTGAGCTTTCCTGTCCAGCTGGGCTTGGAGGTCCCGACCTGCCGCAGCCTCCCAGCCTCTGGGCCACTGGCTGCCTGCTTTACCACGAAGGGTCATCGCTCACCCCATCAGGTCTGGCCGACATGCACACTCTGTCCTCACCACCTCCTCTAGGAAGCTGTCCCTGAGTCCCCTCAAATCCCAGACACCCCACTGAGTGCTCTGGGCAGTCACTATTCAAGGGCTCTTCTCCTGGATCCCCCACAAACTGGGTGAACACCGGGCCCAGCCCCCCTCAGTCCTCATGCCCATTGGGACTGGGCCCGAGGAGCCACTCACCAAAGCCTTCTGACTTGCTGCTGTCCGAGGCAAAGTCGGTGCCCTTGCCCACGAGGCCACCAGAATGTGGCACGATGCAGAGCCCGCTGGCGAGGATGGCGGCCACCACCGCCACGTTGGTGCCGTGCCACCGCTTACTTAGATCTTCCAGTTTGCAGTGGGCCTGGAACTGATCTCCCTGGGGGGGGGGGGGCGAGAAATGGAGCCACGTCATGCCCATGGTGGGGTCCTCCCTGCTGATCCGAGGGGCCCACTAGGGCTCTACCTCTGGCCACTCCCATGCTCATTCCCACGCGTGCCAGCCCCAGGGCTGCTGGGAACCGGTCAGAGTTGCAGAGATGGGCCAGTAAGGGACACACAAGCCAGGACATCTTCCTAAGTGTCATGGAAGTGACAGGTGGGCTCTGGGGGACATCCCTTACCTCCCCTTCTCGGTTCACCTTCCAGACGTGCTGAAGGGCAGGGCACCTGTATTTGCTGCCCGTCTGTGTTAAGTAGGCGTGGATGACCTGCGGGGAGAGCGGAAGTGGGGTGCCGAGGGCGAGAGACGTATGGATGAACCCCCCCAGCTCTCCATGAGCCCCAGAGATGCAGGGAGAGGGGACCAAGGGTGAGGGGCTCCCCTGGGCACTTTGAGGGCAGATGGGCAGAGGGGTGGTGGCCACTCTCTCCCCGGCTCCTCCGTGGGGCTCAGCCCACCTTGTACTCAGGCGCCTCTGGGTCCAGAAGCTGGAGCTGGCACCTGAGGAGCTGGTAGTATCTGTCCAGTTGGTGTGGCACCTCCTGTAAGTTCTCCTCCTCCTCGGGCACTGTCTGCAGGCTCTGGTCCAGCTCCATGATGGTCAGGTCCTAAGGTGATGGGCACTGGCAGCTTGTCTGTCCACGTGACCTCCCGCCTCTGCTCTCCTTCCCACATGACCGGCTCTGTGGCCACCCGACTTGTCTGTCCACCTGTTCACCACCACCCCATCCATCACAGTCCTGCTCTCTGGGCCTGTCGGCCAGCTGCCCCCCGCACGTCCTTTGCCCAGTGTGATCGGTATCCCCACTGCGTGCCCCCCTGCCAGCTCTCACCAGAATACTGGCCTGCAGAAGCTCCAGGGAGTTGATGGGCGGGGGCCGGCTGCGGCCGAAGTCGTGGGGAATGACAGTGTAGAAGCGGGAGGACAGCTCCTCCAGGCTGGGGTCCCCAGCGGTGGGGGCCCTCAGGGCCGCCTCCAGGGCCTCCAAGGCCTCGAAGCCCCGTGCGATCTGCTGCTTGCTCAACTTTCCCAGGGGCATCTTTTTCACATCTGGGGGGCGGGGGAGTGGGGAGACTCAGCCCCCTGTCGCTCCCCGGGCCTTGCCACCCTGCCTGGCCCTGGCCCTCACCCAGGTTCAGGCGGGCCATAGCGTCTGTGAACATGTCCTTGCTGAAGATGTTGGTAATGAGCTTCTGTGTGGCTGCGTCCAAGGAGCAGGGCCGCACCCGCTGAGCCATGGTCCTCACCGGGCCTCCGTCAACCTAGGGGCGGAGCGTGCTCGTAGGGCCCTGCGAGCAGGGCCTGACCAAGGCCAGAGAGCAGAAGTCTGTGGCAGTGTGGCAGAGCTGGGCGGGGGCGGTGGCCAGGCGGCTGGGTCCCCGGTCCCCTCCCTCAGCCCGGAGCCCAGCCGCCTCACCTTCACCACAGCCTCCTGGGCCTCGTCCTCGCCCTGCACTTCGATCAGCGTGTACTTGCCGGGATGCGCCACAAAGCGGTCCCGCTCTGCCCAGCTGTTCTTGGTCTTGTCCCGAAACTTCTTCTCAAACTCCTTCTTTACCTTGTCTAGTGAATTGGTGTTGCTGGCGTTTGTCCGGCCCACCTCGCCCTGCAATTGACAGCCTTCAGGTGCGTGCCCAGTGCTGTGCCGGGCCCACCATAACACCTGGGGGCCTCTGTCCAGCCAGGCCTTGTACCTATCACCTGAGATGGTCAGCACCTTGGCTTTTCAGCCTGAGTGCTGTGTGGACCCTGGGCAGCAGGGGGCAGTGCTGAGCAGGGAGGGTAGACGGGAGTGAGGGAGCAAGATGGGCACTCACCACGCGGCCCCAGCGGTTCCAGCAGAAGAAGCGTTCACCGTCCTCCAGCAGCTGGACGATGTAGAACTTGTTGATGTTCCTCCCGATGTTGGTCTGGTTCAGGGTGCAGTCATAGTCTCCGTGCACCTGGGCCTGAGGGTGCAAGGGTGGGGCAGGCTGGCGTGGGCTGCCCTCGGGTGGGCAGGAGACCCGGCCCCACCCTGACGGGGCTCAGACTGCCCTGGGCTGTCACAGGAGCCCCTGGGGGACAAAGTGTGAGGGGATGTGGCTAAACTGGGGCTATGGAGGGAGATTCTGGAAAGACTCAGCTGTGCCCTGGGTCGGGGAATCGAGGGACACATGCTTCTGCCCCAGGGGTCTTGTAGGGACACTGCCCTGTGAGGGATCTCAGGGGGACACAGCCCTACCCTGTGGCGTAGGTTTGAGGGTGCATAGGTGAGCCCTGGGAAGACCTAGGGGGTCGGAGCCTGGCTTGAAGGGTGGCAGGAGGGGGCCGGAGAAGCTCAGGGGCCTGCCCTGTGGTCTGAAGAGCAGACACGACCTGCCCGATGGGATGCGATGCAGCCCTGCCTGACCTCGGGGGTCTGGGGAGACCACAGCCAGACTTGGGGACTTTGGGCTGTGTGACCAGAGCTAAGCTGAACTGGGGAGGGGAGTGGCTCTGAGTGTATTTGTGTCTAGGAGGGAGCTGGCTAGGGACTACAGCTCACCTGGGTCCCGGGATTGTCCCTGAGATACACGGGGTCCACCCGGACTGCACGCTTTTCTGTGGGTGCGGCCCTGAGGGCCTCAGCGGTGGAGCGGAAGCTGTCCTCCTCTGCCCCCTGCCGTCCCTTCTTCATCTCAGGGCCCTCAGCCTGCACAGCGGACTTGCGCTTGGGAGCCATGGCTGTGTTGGGGGCGCCGAGAGGGGCTTCAGGCTTCCATGGCAGCTGCACCCCACCTGGCTGGTACAGCACCAGTGTGCCCCATGCTGGGTTTGCCTTTGGGGAGCACCCACTGCCGCCCCCTCCCTCCATGCCACAGTCCCAGCCCCAGACCAAAGCCCGTTCTCTCACCCCGGACACGCCCTTGTGCCCGATAGCAGGGGCAGGGCCAGGACCCTGTCCCGTCTGCCCACTCTGGTCAGGGAGGAGTGGTTCCCTCCCTTCTCTGGTTGTGTGGGTTGTCCAGGGGGTACAGAAAGAGAAAGGAGGGGCTTCTGTCCCACTGATGGCCCCTCTGCCCTCCAGAGCACTCTGTGGGCTCTGCCTGCTCCTCCCACTTCCCAGCTGCCTGGGACTTGGCATGGGTGCTGGGCTGAGTCATCCCAGCAATGGAGCCCCGAGTGGGCAATGGCAGCCGGGGCAGCACCCCCGGGGCCAGGTCTGTTCCTCCAGAGCTCGGGATCCAGTGATGCAGAAACCCTTCCCGTTGAGCTCAGAAGTTCCGGGCTGTGAGCCAGGGTCCCAGACCAGTGGCCTTGAATTTCCAGTGTGCAAGGGAAGTCCCTCCCCGCCCTGCCCTTCTAAGGGCTGTGGACAGGGTCGTGGGCACTCACCTAGGAGAAGCAGGGACCTGGGAGAGATGGTCTTTGGTGCGCAGTATGAGGACCTTCTGCCAATGTCCCAGTTCTGTGTGCTCCTTTGGCAACACTCTCGAAACCTTAGGCGTGATTATGGGAGGGACTTCCTGACAATATTGTGCCAGATGATTCCAGGAAACATCTCATGATGCCAGGAAATAGGAAGTGCTCAGAAGTAATTCAGACAGAGAAGTCAGCTTGAAGGTCCTTCTGCAGGCCACATCTGGGACAGTCTGAGGCTCAGAGTAAATACGGACACATCGCTGGTTACAAGTAGGGCAGCTGGTCACTTCCAGGGGAGAGACCTGGTGCAGCAGCTGACTTAGGGGATCAGAGTTAGTTCAGGTCACCAACAGAGGGACGCGTCCCTCCTGCCAGAATGCCCCGAGGAGACGTCACACATGTCGGGTCCCCCCCAGACGTCAGCAGCCGAATCTGATCCTGACCAGACGTGAGAGACACCGAGACTGAGAGACCCTGTGAGGCAAGGGGGCCTGCACCCTTCGGGGCTGCAGAGGACGTCCAGTCATGGAGGGAGAAATAAAAAGGCTGAGACAGGTTTCAGACTGAAGGAGAGTAAAGAGACGAGACGAGGAGATGCCCTGGGTGACCCCCGGCTGGGACCCGCGCTGCTCCAGCCCCACATCCTGGTGTCTGGTAGGGCTGCCCGGGGCGCTCCCGGGCATCCTTTCCCGGGGGCAGAGCCGGCCCCTGTGGATGTGCAGGTGTAAGACACTCCGATTGGAAGTCATGGGCGGAGCTTGGTCTGCTGGGCCTGTCCGGGTGTCGGGCCCCCAGGGACCAAAGGTTCTGAGCTGATGGTGGGGGTTGCCTTTGAAGGTCAGTGATCAGAGCAGGTGGGTGTGGCAGTGGTGGGCCTGGTTGGACCGGATTGAGGGGACTTGCGGACACTGCTTTCCTTTCTCCAGGGCTGCCTGGAAGTCCCCGGTGCCCTGCCAGATACCTAGTGCCAGATTGGTACACCCCGGTCCACACCCCTGACTGGGAGGAGTCCTGTTCGGGACTCGGAACCCCGCATCTCTAGCGTCTCCGAGCATCTGAGGGGCGAAAACACAGAGACGGTCCCCTGTTCGCCCCGCCTTAGACATCAGCTAAATAGCCGTGCACTGCACTGCTGCTTAGGCCGGAAGAACCCTGAACAGGCTGTTTCCGCTGAGCCCTGCGCGGGAGCGCAGGGGAGGTTGAGGAGGCGTGGCCACAGGCATTTATCCAATGGGTACTTGGGAGCGCCCAAATAGCACCAAGCGGCCCAATGCGGTTGGAGGAGGCGGGGCTCGTCTGATGTTTGGAGCCTATCAGGGCGCGGAGTCTTGCCAGACCGCCGGGGTACCGCCACGTGCGTTCCCCAGAGGCTGCTGAGCGTGCGTGGTCAGCATGCCAGCGCCAGCAGCGCGTTGGAAGCGGGGAAAGCCGGCTTCCGGGGTGCGGGCCGGCATTGTCCTGCTCCTGGGACCACTGTAATCACACCTTCATCCCCTCCTTGCCACCTCTCCGCTCTCCCGGGATTCCAACTGGAGCCAGCTTCGCTTCTCTGACCGCCGGCCAAATGCTGTACAGTCTTGCCCTGGAGCCGAGGGCCACTGACTTTCCCAGTTGCAGGGCTGTCGACTGACCAGAAGGGGCCTTGGGTCAGTGCCGGAGTGGTGGAGACCCCTGACCTGTGAAAGGATCATTCTCCTATGATTCTTAGGCCGACTTTTCCGGGGACAAGGGCAAGTCCAAGGGTGGCGACAGATGAGTGAGAAGATAGATCTCTAGCGACTCTGAGAGTGAGAGGTGAGCTCGGCTTTTCTGCTTAGTGGTAGGGAGCGCTCAGGCCCGTGGTGCGTGGACGTCTCCGTGCGTGAGAACCCCGGCCCTTGGCTCACAGGCCTTGGCTCTTTCCTCCAGTTTCTGGTCCTGACAAGCCTCATCTCCTTCCCCGCGGGGTCTGTGTGTGGAGAGGACCCCCCAGCCCCAACTGGAGACCAGGGCGACCTCTCTGGCCCATGGCAGGGAGGCAGGGAGCTGAGTCCAGGCTGCACTGACTTGCAAGGGGAGAGGGGTGCAAGAAATGCTGGCTAGTTCTTCACTCCCTTTGCCACGACTTCACAATGACTGGTCTCCCCCTGGCGGGGGCAGAGGCCAGGCACTGGCTTCCCTTCTGAGAGCACAGAGGCGAGAAGGCAGGGGAAGAGCGAACGAGTGGTAATGGGATGTGTTACCTCCGTGTGTTCTGGGAAGAGACAGGGGGCATTTCAGTGGGGCCTGGAGAGATGAGGAGCCCTGATGGGGGAGGCAGGGAAAGGCGCTGAGGGATCAGAGGAAAGTGTAGGGCGTAGTAAGTGTGCCAGAACGGGAGGTGGGGGCATGGAAGGCCAGGTGGTGGGTGCACCCAGCTTGCGGAGAGGGCTTTGAACACCTCCCTGGTCCTGTCTGGGGACAGGAGTGGGGCCAGTGGCAGGGTCTGCGAGGGGGCTAGCAGAGTGTCAGGCCGGGCCTTGTGGCACAGAAGTCCTCGTGCCCGGGACCCTGGTGCCTGCCTTAAGCGTTGGCTTTGGACATTCTGCTTCTCCAGCTGACTGTGTGTCAGCCTGACCCTGCTCACAGGGAGACTTTTTAAAAATATATTTTATTGATTGTGCTATTACAGTTGTCCCACTTCCCCCCTTCACTCCCCTCCACCCTGCACACCCTCTCTCACTCACATCCCCCCTTTAGTTCATGTCCATGTGTCATACTTATAAGTTCTTCAGCTTCTACATTTCCCACACTATTCTTATCCTCCCCGTGTCTATTTTCTACCTACCATCTATGCTACTTATTCTCTGTGCCTTTTGCCCCATTCTCCTCCCTCCCACTCCCCTGCTGCTAACCCTCCACGTGACCTCCATTTCTGTGGTTCTGTTCCTGTTCCAGTTGTTTGCTTAGTTTCTTTTGGTTTTGCTTTAGGTGTGGTTGTTCATAATTGTGAGTTTGCTGTCCTTTTACTATACATGTTTTTTTATCTTTTCTTAGATAAGTCCCTTTAACATTTCATAACATTTCATAAAATAAGGGTTTGGTGATAATGAACTCCTTTAACTTGACCTTATCTGAGAAGCACTTTATCTGCCCTTCCATTCTAAATGATAGCTTTGCTGGATAGAGCAATCTGGGATGTAGGTCCTTGCCTTTCATGACTTGGAATACTTCTTTCCAGCCCCTTCTTTCCTGTAAGGTCTCTTTTGAGAAATCAGTTGACAGTCTGATGGGAACTCCTTTGTAGGTGACTGTCCCCTTATCTCTTGCTGCTTCTAGGATTCTCTCCTTCATTTTTACCTTGGCTAATGTAATTATGATGTGCCTTGGTGTGTTTCTTCTTGGGTCCAAGTTCTTTGGGACTCTCTGAGCTTCCTGGACTTCCTGGAAGTCTATTTCCTTTGCCAGAATGGGGAAGTTCTCCTCTATTATTTGTTCAAATATGTGTTCAATCTGTTGCTCTTCCTCTTCCCCTTCTGGCACCCCTATAATTTGGATGTTGGAACGTTTAAAGATGTCCTGGAGGTTCCTAAGCTTCTCTTCGTTTTTTTGAATTCTTATTTCTCCATTCTTTTCTGTTTGGTTGTTTCTTTCTTCCTTCTGGTCCACTCTATTGTTTTGAGTCCCAGTTTCCTTTCCATCACTATTGGTTCCCTGTGCATTTTCCTTCATTTCTTTTATAGTAACCTGCATTTGTTCATCTAATTTTCAACCAAAATCAACCAATTCCGTGAGCTTCCTGATCACCAGTATTTTGAACTGTGCATCTGATAGATTGGCTATCTCTCGGTCGCTTAAAAGTTCTGGGGCTTTCATTTGTTCTTCTGTTTGAGCCATCTCTCTCTCTCTCTCTCGCTCTCTTTTTTGTTTGGTCTGGTCGCTCCTGTTACGGTGAGGGGCGGAGCCTTAGGTGTTCACTGGGACTGGGCACCCCAGTCGCTAGATTTTGACGTTGTATGTGGGGACGGGGCCGAGAGGGAACAGTGGCGGTAGCTCCGTTCTCCTGGGACCTCAGTCCCTTCCCTGGGATCCTTGGTTGCTCGCTCTGCCCTGGTCCACAATCGCCGCCTCACTGGGTCCACCAGCTGCCACCTGTGCACTCAGGGTCCACCCGCTGCGCTCTTGCGCGCCCCAGATGCCTTACGCGCCCCCGGTTGCCTTATGCGCCCAACTATCTCTGCTCTCCGAGCCGCGACCCGAGCCTGGCTGCTCGTCTCCGCCCCTCCTACCGGTCTGGATGAACGGGTCTATTTCAATTTCTTGGCTGTCCGACTTCCATTCAGATAAATTCTCTGTCAGTTCTGGGTGTTATTCTGCCTCTAAATTGTTGTTGTTCCCATCTTGGTTGTGCGCGGAGGTGCGGTGCATCCACCTATGCCTCCATCTTGGCCGGAAGTCAGGGAGACTTAAGATGCCTTGCTTAGTCCCCAGGTTACTGTGGGTGGGTGGGTGGGTGCCAAGCCCTCTGGTAAGCACTTGTAAGCAGCTTTACAAGGTGCTGTGCGATGCCTTAGCTACGGAAGAGTGGACGAGACGGGTTTGCGCTGTGGAGTGTGGTGAGGAATGATGACCTTTGGGCGCTCACCACTCAGGTCACCGACTCGGCCATTTGCAGCAACTGACGGGCCCCAGTTGCCGTTCCCGACTGGAGGTACTCATTTCTTTGCTTTCCTCCTTTCCTTCCTTTTTCTCCTCCTGTTTTTTGTTTTCTCATGCAGTTC